AAATTAAATACATAAAGATATTTATACATCATATACAAAAATAAAATTATCGATGTAATACGATTTTTTCATTTTCATCATAAAACTAATAACGATTTTTAATAATATTAAAAACGCATTAGTAAATAATAGAAATTATAATTTATAAAAGATATTTCATTATTAAAAAAAAACGTTTGTATTCCATTTTTTACCGCTATTCTTAGAGAATAACTATTAGGAAATACACGAAAGTATATTTCACCTTGCACTTTGTGTTAAAACGAATTTTTTAAATTTTTTTTTCCCACGCTATTGAATTTAATATCACGCATCGAGATAAAATTGCAGTTTTATGTTACAGCGTTCCCGGAAGCAAAGTGTATCCTCGCTTCGAGTATCAAAGCAAACGGATGTAACCGGTTAGCCGGAAACGTGCACGATAGTAATTCGCACAATGGAATTATTTTGTATCGTTAAATTTCTCTTTGGTCGCGCGCATTGGTCCTTCGCTTTTTTAAAACCTTCGCCCTTTTAACATGGTCCATGACACTGACGAATGCGTCACGAAATTAAAACGAAGGCGATTCATTATGTAAACGAGACGAAGTCTTATGCGTCTTATTGTAGTTCATTAACAGTAGTGATCGTAGTTAAAAGGTTAAATTCTTAAACAAATAGATCACGGTCAATTTTTCATAAGTCTACTTATTCACGTGAGCTTGATTGCGGATGACATCTGAATTCTGCGAACAATGTTCCATTTTTATTATTCGTTTTTATAGCGAGGGCTTTAAGGATTAATTTTAATTTCAATTTTTTTAATTCAACTTTATTTCCTAAAATTCTTTTGAGAAAAAATTAATTAAACTGCTCTCCTATACTAAATTCTTTACTAGCTAAAAAAAAGGATACAAATAAAATCCCTTTAATAAAATTTAGCATCAAATTATTATTTTTTTCTTTGCAACGCATAGAGAAATTCTCTGCATTTGAATCATAATTATGACAATTAACACACTTGCACTTTGAAATGTCATGTGTTGCATAGTAGATATATATGCGTATATCCATAAAAAATCCTATCAATAAAAAAAGCTAATATCTTTCTATTTTTTTTATTAATAATGTTAATGTAATATGTAAATAAAGTGACGAGAACTCGTTTGCTTAGTTAAAATAGATACGTGGTAACTCAATATTTATGCGATAATGACACGCCTCTGGGACAAATAATCGATGAAAATACAGACACACGAGAATTATTTGTTAGCTAGCGCTTTGAGTTACGTTTTAGTGATGGATTATTTATATTTACAATAAATATTTGCAATAAGCCTTTTAAATTCCACGAGTATGACGATTGCACGATTGCACGTGAATTACACCCTTCTCTGTTGGTTATAAAAAAGTAATAATGCTGCGTGTATATTTGTATTCTTTTTACTTTAATATAACTCTCACATTGTTTACAATATAAAACTAATATACAAGTTTAATAAAATGTATTTCATAGCATAAGTCAAAGCTTCTAAAAAAACATTTAAAAAAGTCTTTGCTAAAACATATTTTCATATGTATTATTTTATAAGTCATATGGACTTTTAGTTCAATTAGTTTATTTAAATAATCATGATTTTCATAAATATAAAAATTGTTTATATACTAATCAACATAATTGTGACAAAGTAAAAACATTGAAGTTAAAAATTATGATTTTAAAATATGAATGAATGTATTAATGAATTTTAAAATCAATTTAATAATACAAATGTTTATTTTGAGTGTTTTGTTATATAAATATAAATTATTATAAATTCTTATTTTTAATTATATGTAATCATGCGTTTATTATAAATATATTTTTATATATTATAAATATATTTTTTATGAAAATATTAAAAGTTTTGAGAAAAAAATCATAATTTTCAAGTATAACATGTTTTCAATAATTCAATATATTTTATATTGTATTTTTGTGACAATATTTAAATATATTTCATATTAAACTCGTAATGTAATATTAAACGAAGATAATTAAAGATAATTAAATTATACTTCAAAAATTTAATTATAAGTAAAAGACAAAGTTTCAATTGCTAGTAAATAATTCTCAATGAAACTTTCTATAATTAGAATATTCAAATAGAATACAAAATTATTAATAGTGCATTATCATATATCCCTTTCTCCGAATTTAATAAAATTTAATTTACACTAAAATAAAATGTACTAGATGTTGCAATATAAAATAATTGCAAAATATAGTAAATATTTTTAATCAACTGCATTTTGCATTGGGCATAGATTGGACATGAACAATTGCGAAAAGCTATTTTTAATTCTAATTAAAAGTCCTTATAAAAGATTAAAGTAATTTCTCAAAAATATAGAAGCTCTTAAAATTTCTTTGACATTTAAAATTTGACAAACAAAATTCTCTCAAAAGTCTCGTTGGTCGAATTTATTAAACAACACGAAGTGTTATTAATATCAGCTTAAAGATAATGACTCAAAAAGATATAAAAAGATCTATTTACCACTAAACATCGGCATTGTGAGTTCCGGATGCAGCTGAGCCAATTGACGCGAAAGATACATTTGGCTGCGGCAATAAGTAGTTGACAAAAGGACGTCCAATGTGCCACCTCTAACTGTACCACCAGAGGAAATCTCACCTGCAGGATTACTTTGTTGACCCGGCCCGGAAGTTACGGTGGCGGCAGAGCTTGCAAGAGGATCATTATGCCCTACAATGGAAATAAAATATCAAATTACTAATAAAATAAAATATCAAATTACTAAATAAGAAAAAAATAATTATCTCGCCAATAAATGAAAGTTGTTCTGGAACTTGATTGTAAAATTAATATTTACATTTAATTAGAATACTTATATTTAATTAAAATTATACCTTAATTAAAATTTACGATAAAAGATAATTCTGTTTATGTTTGTTTCTATAATCAATTTAATAACCAATTACTAATACAGACTTAATATTAAAATAAGTTCTGCAAAAGAAAAGCATTTTTTAATTAATAAATTTTTACACAATTAACTGCTATTAAAAAAGAATAGATTAAATCCGCAAAAATATCTGATAAGAGAAAATTTTAAATGTCAGAAAAGCCATTTAATTGATGAATTGTAAAGGAAATATGGTAAACCGATAGCGTGATGAACACCTACTACTACCTTTCGTTTAATTATTACGTTATTATCAATGATATTTAGCAAAACATATTAAGCGCTTAAAATCAATAATTATTTTCAATAATAATTAATAAATGTCAAACCAATATAACATTTACTATGTGTTTACATTGCGTTACTTCCTAGTATGACAAAGTATCATAATTATATAGAAAATGCGTTTTACAAAAATAAATATATATATGATATTTTATGGCAAATCGAATATATGTTCTTACAGAAAGAAAAAGACTTATGATTCCGAAAATCCTTTTGCTTTCATGGAAACATACTTCTATATATTGAATATATATGACGAATATATATGACGTATATATGTTAAAAGATACATAAGGATTGATATATCTTTCTTTTATAAGAAAAGTATAATAATTCATATTTCTTTCTGAAACAGTGCGTTTCTATTCTATTCTATTCTAGCAATATGCATCAGAACAAATTTAATCTTTCTTGTCTGATTAAAATTTCAAAAATTGCAACTGCAAATTGATTGTTCAACTTATATTATAATGCAACAATTAGTTTATGGTTATTAATTAAAATTGTATTATGTTATTTGTATTGATATGCAATGTAATAAAATAAAAACAAGTTTAATTTTATATTATTTTATATTATTTTCTTCACAACTAAAAAATAATTATGAATAAAAAAGCTAATAAAAAAAAGTTAGTATTCTATATATATTATAAAAAATATTGGATTTTTCTTTGTAATACAAATATTGACATTACCCTTAACGAAGTTGAATGAAATTTTTGCAGTTTGTAGGAATATAAGAAACGATTTATAAATATAAAAAATGACTTATGCAAATCGCGAAAACATGAATCTCTTTCCCAATATGACAGATTGACGTGCGTCGCGAAGAGGCGGGAATTTGTACGTTACTTCCATGCGCAGAAGCCGGAATACTGGATGCAGTAGAGCTTTATCAGGAATGAATGCATCAGGGTATCCAGCAGAAATAGCTGAGACGGCACTCGAATATAATCTCCGAAAGTATAACTTAGTGTTCCTCGAGAATCAAGTGCAAGTTTAAATTAAATTTTTTCATTTAAACACAACTTCCTCTCTGAAGAATAGAAAAAAAAAATAATAAAAGTGAAAGAAGTTGCTGTTGCTAGCTAGTGATCAATATCAATATGCCGGATCTATTAAAATCCAATCAATTAACATTTGGTGACAAATTGCAATATTAAAATTAAGCGTCGCGCGAATGTCTTCGAAGAAAAATTCATTAAACGACATTGACTGATAGAAGGACTTATATACCGGCATTGTATCTCGCACCGGCACTGCACATGTCGTGCCAACTAGAAGTGCCGAGAGGATTCATTCTATATTTACGAGAGATACGTCAAGATTGTTGATGTGTGAGACGTATATGCATTGAAACTTTCGTGTATTGAAAGACCGTGGTTAAAAGGAGTTCTCGGCATCGTATCATAAAATCGTCTACAGAATTTGTACAGTCCAATAAACGACTTGCATCTGCATATGTCGCGAATATAAAATATATTATATTGCTTCGTTTATTGAAACTCAATAAACAGGTATGTACTAATTTCAAAATCCTGTTTGACGAGTTCTTTTACAACTCTAATTAGGATAAAAAAAAACTAAAGAAGTGTTTTTATCAATTTATAAAAAAAAGTATAACGAGAGAGAGAGGTTTTCTTCCATTCCATTTAATTTAAAAATAGTTAGTCTACTTCCTATTTATTGTTTTCTAGAATTATTTTGACATAATAGAAAGTTTCTTAATTTTTTTCATAAAGATTTTTAGATTTTCATTACAGAAATAATTAAAAAGTATTCTATTAAAATAATTATATTTAAAGTTTAGTTTTATTAATTTATATTACTTTTATCAATTTCAATTTAATTGTAAATAATTGAAAATATCATATTCATTTATTCAAAAGATATACGAGAGAACTAAAGAGAAATATAAACAATTGAAGTTCTCCGAAGTTTACCAATAATTTCTAAGGCGTACCATTCAAAAATGGATGTTTTCCATTTAGTGACTCAAGTCGATACAAGCATCGTTCTATCTTTCTATTCAATAAATAACGAGGACAAAATGATATTGTCGACCTATGTCGACTTATGTCACTAAATGGAAAGCACCCAATAATATAAATATAATATAATATAAAGCTTCGTTTTTTTATCTCAAAGAACTATTACAAAATATAATAAGAAAAAATTTTCTTACACCTATATACATAAAAATTATTTAAAAAACGACAATTACTATGACAGTTGTCTTACAAAAAAGTATCCGCTTTATAAAATATATCCGATTTTTCGCAATAATGCAGAAAAGATAAGAATTTTTCCTATGTAGTTATCATATTATATAAAATCATTTTCAATTTTATAATAAATTAAATACCGAGAAGAAAACAATAGTTTACCGAATAATTATCGAATAATTTATCTTTCATTTTAATAATGAAAATAATAATACTTTAAACAAGTATATTACAATTATATAACTGCGATAATCTACAACAATAATTGCGCAGTAATGCGATAGCAATAATTTACTAATGACTTGTTAACGTATCTAAATCAAGAAGGATTTCCGCGCGCACATGATAAGCGCCATGTTAAATTTTTTTCACTTCGTAGTATGTAAACACATATACTGTTTCATGATAAGAATACAAAATTCTTATATTCGATCAAGCAATAATAACATAATTAAGAAGCGTAGAAAAATATGAAATATTATTTTCTCTCTTTTCTTATATCCATGGGACTATAAAATGTGTAAATTAATTTTATCAAAATCTGTTTAAAAGCAGCTAAATATGAAGCAACTTAGAAATATTTAATTGATGTTAATTAAAAAACTATGATTTTATGTAATATCTTCAAAATATGAAAATTTAATTTGTTACAAAAAGTCTGATTCTTAATATATTAAGTAACATAAATAATATTAATAATTATTCCGTAGTTATTTGAAGTTCCAAATACATCAATATGATCATCGCTGATTTTACTTCAGCTTCTAAATTCAATCCTTGTCTCGACATCCAGAAAAAATGCGAAAATTAGTATTCTCTCTATCTATTTTTCTGCGTGACTCTCTTTTTAAGTAGAATAAGGTAATATATAATAGAACAAGGGTTAATATTCTTCCAGGTCATCGTGCGTGACGCAAACTGTTATGCTGTCTACATTTGGCGTGGTTGTACTACTTCCAGTTTTTCTGCTTATTGATAGTTTGAAATCAACGCATCAAGATGACCGGAAATAATAGCACAATAGCATTCGATCGCACGCTCGACAATCTCTTGCAGAATATTCAACTCTACTATACGCCAATTCTCGTAGTCCTAGGTTCCTTGGGCAATTGTCTGTCCATGTACGCATTTTTCGGCACGAATCTACGTTACTCTTCGTCCAGTATATATCTGGGCGCATTAGCAATAAGCGACAGCATCTTTCTGATGATAGTTTTTGTTGTCTGGCTCGTTATGGTGCACGTGAATCTATTCAATCAATACGGTTTCTGTCAATGTTTCATCTATATTAGCACCATCAGCGGTTGTCTCAGTGTATGGCTCGTGGTAGCCTTCACCGTTGAGCGATATATAGCAGTCAAATGGCCACTTCGTCGACAGTTCTTATGTACGGTTGCTCGAGCAAAGATAACAGTAATGGGGTTGACAGCACTAGCGGTTGTATACAGCAGCCCGGTGCTCCTATTTTCCACTGTACGTCTTGAAGCCGGGACAAATTCAAATATTTGTGAATTGGACAATGCCTGGGATGATTGGGCGGATGTCTATAATTACTTCGACACTATCATAACGTTTGCTGTCCCCCTAACCGTCATAGTAATCTTCAATATATTAATAGTACGCAACATCTACAAGTTCGATCATGTCCGAAGAACCTTGACCATAGAATCCGACGTTTCCAGTGAGAAGGCTCATATTCCAAGGGATAGAATGCCACAGACCAAGGTCACAAAAATGCTTCTGCTCGTTTCTACCGCATTCTTCTGCCTCAATATGCCTTCATTTGTCCTCAGACTGACCGCTTTTACTTATGTACGTACCAATTTAGTAATATTTAGTGTTAAAGTCAAATGCGAAGTTTTTTCGTTTTAAGAAGTAAATTTTGAATAATAAAAATATTGCTAAATTTTTTGTGGATTCCAAATTTTTCCTATATTTCAATGTTCAATCAGATTTAATATGTTTTTGTATACATAGTATTTTTTACATTTACAAAATCATATATTTGCATAATTAAAAGTTGTAACACATGGTTATAATTACGTTATTATTCTTTACGCTAATGCTTTTTATTTTTATTAAATCGATATTATTATTTAGATAGATTGTCTAGATAGATTTGATATATTGTTAAAGAAATTATATCACATGATATATAGTAATAATAATAATTATATATATGCAAATTCAGGATAATAATCAACTATGGCTCATTTATGCACAACAGATGTGCAATCAATTATTGTTCAATACGAGTTTTGGAATAAACTTCATTCTATATTGCGTGAGTGGGCAAAATTTTCGCAGAGCGATGGTCTACATGTTTACAAAACGTTCGAGTAATAGAAGAAGTGGAACTCTCACGCAGATGACGAATCAAGGAAAACAGTGTGGTAGGCACTTAATTACCCAATTATAAAATAACATAGTGACCAAGTAGAATATGTAGATAATACATTGAAAAATTCTATTCTGTCTATATGGAGAAACTTAATAAACAAAAAAAAACAACCAAATTTGCTAAAATTTCGCATTTTCCTTTATTTCCTTTAGTTTCAGAACTCACACGTAGATACAGCTCAAAAAAACAGCCGCATTTTGTCGACAGTGTGAGACGGAAGTACTCTAAGGAAACGCAAAAGCTTCCAGTAAATGAGGAATTACAGTAAATCCGTTTCAAATAATCAAGTAAATACATTATAAACAAACAATAATCATTGACGTGTAATACATATGATTCAATATTACGGCGCACAGTGAAGAAGATAAAGATTATGAACTTACCAGCTTCAAGTTCCGTAGCTGGAAGTGGTCCTACATTTCCAAAGAAGCGTTGATCCAACAGTTGAAGAAGCTGAAGTGCCGCATCGTGAACTGGAGCGCGGGGACATCCCGTGTTCATTAACGTTACGTTGATGACACTCGTGTAATGATCGCAAGGATACTCTCTGAAGAGAAGAAAATCGTAAACGTACTCGTGTTTGTCGTATTATTTATGAATTTTATTATTTTATCATGATTATATTCATGGCTCTATCAATATAAAAATATGTGTATCGTAGTCTTTACTCGCTATGTGTACATATTTTCTCCCTCTTCAATAAATGCTTTTATATTGCAATATTTATCCTATATTTTTTTAATTCATGCATACCTGGCGCTGAAAATCGTCGCCAACGCAAGAAAGCAACCATCGGCCACTTGTGGTGCGCCAGTATAACATCGATCCACTATCCAATCCAAAAGTGTACCAATGTCAGGGTTTCCCTCGAGCAATAATACAACAGTTTCGCGTGCAAGTGTATAAATCTGAAACAAGAGATAGAATAATATAGGTAGAAAAAAAATATAAAATAAGATACTTTAATATTCGATATTTAATAGACTATTAATTACAGCTTTGCATATAAACTCTTGAATACTTGGCTTAATGATAAAATATTATATAATTTACAAAATTTACCTTTTCATCTTTGCTAGCCAGTAACAAGTCTAACCATTGATATAAAATTGCACCTTCTTCTGAAAGCGACTGTGGATTGAAGCACGATCCACAACAGAGTAATCCACTCATAGCTTGCAAAGCTGAAAGTTGCAATTCTGTACAAGATTTTTCCTCCTCTTGCATAGATGATGTACTTGTAAGCGGTCTGCCGTAAACTCCAGCCCAACTAGCAAAGAGCATGAATAGATTCCTTCTTAAATCCCTCTTCAATAAGGTATAACATATCTCCACTAAAAAAGCAAGAAATTGAAAAGATAATAAATAAATAACAATATTGCATATATTGTTTCTATTTCAAAATTCGGAATTAAAATCGCTTACGTGAAAAACTCTTGATCATTTTTCTGATAAAGTTGCAGAAGTGTAACTTGATGTCTCGGACAGCGGGTGCTTCCTTGTCAGTCTCATTTTCTAAATAAATGCGTGCACCATCTATATACTCGACGAATGTCGGATGTAAAGACTGCGTCTCGCGATCTAATACCGCTGAGCTAAAGAAAGATTGCGATGATTTCTTTAAATTCAGTTGATTGAATGAAACAATAAAAAACGAAATAAAATATCAACTGACCAAATACCGAATGTTCCATATTCAGCGATGAGTTCGAGTACTCTTACTAGCTGCAATCTCAAAGCGTCGCGTCTTCTACGTCGTCTCATATTCTCCTGCTTCCGATCAACCGCTTCCCGGATATAAGGTACCAGTTCTTCCATCAAATCTCTATAAAGAAGAAAATTCTTTTGCAATTTAATCTATCTCTCTATTTGCATCTCAGAAGGTAACGCACTTACTTTAAAGCGTCGGCATTTACTTTTCCGATTGCTTGCACCGCGGCATCCCTGACGTCGACGGCCTCGCATCTCAACAGAGGTACGGTCAGCTTGTAGAGGGCCGCAGGACTCGCATTCGTACCCGGTGACTTATTATCGCCGCGTTCCGCGGATAAACTGTCCGGCGAGGAGCTGCGAAAACGAGACTGCTGCGTTTCACCGTTTTTTCATTTCCAGGTTCGTTACAATTAACTATTTACTAAAGCTCGTAAATTTATAATTGTGCACTGTCTCGAATATTCGGCCGGAATTTAATTTCGGAAAAAGAAGCGATCGGGAACGGTCGTGAGGCTAGGCAAGAGTGGTACACGGAAATACGCGCGAAAAGAACTTGTTAAATCGGTGAGAGAGCACAAAAGCTGAAAGTTCAATGGAAAAAAAGGATAATACTGTGCTGTGTTAAGAGAGTAAGAAGAGATAAAGATTCAATAGTTATAAAAGATCGAAGTGCGAATTACCAACGACCGTTTAAATCCCGGGTGACATCGAGGGAAACGTGGTCGTTTGTTCGTGATTGTTAATCTCAGGCTCACCTGGTACGCTTATGCCGGGTGTAGATGCCGGAAATGGACGGTACAGAGAACCGACCCGGCAGGGTCTGCGCCCCGCCGAGATTCTCCAGGCTCTGACTCAACTCCTTACTCATGCACAACACACCAAACTCCACCGTATGCTGACCACTAGAGTATGCAATACAGTGTACCACCAATGCTCCTTGTATCAGACATTATTTACTGCTCAGAGACTACTACTCTAATATCCAGAGATGGAGAAGGAGATGTACGAGACAACAATATGATAAGAGACAGCATGCGAGAGATGTAGTGTGTTGCGGAAAATAAAGCGAAGTGTGAATATGCATAGAAGAAAGGATAGAGCAGGTTCCGCTCCCGAGTGCAAAGCGCGAATTTGATACGAATTGGTGACAGTCTATTCGACGAAGAATTCCCATTGCGAGATGTGCGCGACATCAAATAACTACAATCGTGCGCGAAATGTAATATTGGATATTTTGGTGTTTGATATATAAAATAGTATAGAATCATATTTTAATAATTGTGCTAGTATAGAATTAAAAAATATAAATAACTTTATAATTCTGTAAAATGTTTGACAAATCACTATTGACATTTCACGAGGCAAATGAAGTAAAACATTTCTGCATGGAATAGTAGACACAAACAAACATTAACACCAATTAATACCAAATTAATTATTAATTTTATTTTTTATTTAATTATTAATTTTAATTCACTTTTACATTTAAAGCTCTAATCTGCTAGACATATGACATTTTTAATTATTCAGAGATTTATTGAAATATATCATTAATAAACTAAATATAATCAATGTAAACATAAGTTATGCGTGCATATACTCTCTCAATGCAGATATACTTCAACGAGGAACTCCACTGTTTATTCAATACATTCAATGTATATATAATCTCGTTCAATTATATTTGCAACGAATATAGCAATGCACGTGATTACACATGTATTTTACTGAGTGATATATAATAAGCATGAATATTGTATTAAAAATATTAGACTATGGAAAAAATTAAATAATATATAAGAAGATGATATAATATGATATTTGAACTTCCGTTGTAAATTTTTTCATGTAACTAACTTACCTGAGACTAAGATCCGGACTGGCGCATCGAACGACTGGATTCGGTACAGGTGGCACGACTCTATATCCAAAGGTCAGATAATTTTTCCAGATATGCATATAGACATCTCTCTCATTTACTGGTTTTCTCACTGTCGTCGAACTTCGCAATAAAGAAGCTCGGTTGTCATTTACTGGTCTGCATAAATAAAAAAGGTTTTAATTATTTCAAAACTTAAATGTGCTTATTTAGTACATAAATTAGTTGTAGAAATCATCAAAACTTACGTGGGATCTATTACTGAAAACAAGGAATTTATGCGAGTAAAAACAATGGGCCAAGAATGAGCCACAGCATTCGGACACAATGTGAGTACTCTGTCTTTTTCCAAAAAAGCAAATAGACAACTGGCCCATGGATCAGCCCCATTTAGGTTAAGCGAGGAAGAACTCTTGGTACTGTTTTCATCGTGGAATCCTGTAATATAACACAATACAAATGAGTGTAATATATATAGTATATAAACTATATACAAAGTGTGATTCATAAAGTACTCTACCAGCTGTCCAAACACAACTACTTCGGTCGGCTATCCATTGCAAATCCACATTAGATGTAGATGCAGCGGCTGCTTTCTCAGCTGGCGGCAACATAGGATAACATTTTTCCAAGACGACAGGACAACATGCATCAATCACATCGATAACAGGTTGATCATCTTCGGGACCACCTAAAAAAGAATAACAAATGATATACATTGTGATATATTAGACACATATATAATACACATATATAATATGTATCAATATAATTACCTAAAGTCTTTAATAAAAGTTTGACTTCTCGAAGTATATGAACCGCTAGTCGTCGAGGATAAAGCCGACAATTGCAGAGCATAACCAAGGCGAATCCTTCCACCAGATAGAATATATTCGACACAGGTTCTACTTTCTGAAAGAAAATTTACAAACAATTTACAAATTTGTTTTATGCGTAATCTATGAAATGCCAAACTAATGCAAACTAGGATTAGTGCATACTTGGCCCGTTTCGCACTTCTTAATACCAACATCCACTCGTATATTCACTCGTGTATTATCCACCGATTGTTCCTTAGATCTTATATTAGGACTCGTCAAAGCATTTTTCCAACTGGTCAGCAATTGTAGCAACATCCTCAGACCGTTATCAATAAGCTGTGGAAAAGTGTCTTGCACATCTCTGGCTAAAAATTGCGTAAATCCAAGTATGACATCTTGTCGCCAATCAGGGAAATCTAAGACTAGAGTCTGCAAGCTTTGATACGCTAAAGCACGTAGTTCTTCGTCCATGTGTACCGTCAAACGAGACAACAAATCGACTAATTCTGCACCGGTCATTCCATCGGGAATTAATCGCGGAACAGCAGCAACGCATGTCCGAAAGAGATCTATTCGAGGTTTACGTTCCCCGGTGATCATTTCGTCCGGCTCTTTGTTCATGTTTTGAGTGCTGGTCATCATGAGAGGTCTACCATAATGAACGTCTAATGCGCGCAAGATATCTACAAATACCCGTCGCACATGCGGAAAATATGAAGACATCCCTATACTTCGCGCGGTGTCCTCTGTTAGCATCTAAATCATAAAAAGCATTACTTAAACATTTTCCTGCGCATTCAATATATATACTAATAATAATATGTATATATCATACATACTTTATTCAAGTACGTCTTTTTAACACGCATGGTGTTTCCACTCGGTAAAACACCCATAGTACGCGGCATAGGTGGTTCTCCCTCTTTCTGTTGCAGACTATCGGCCACAACGAGGAATGCTCGGAGTCCGATACTCATGCGTTCGGGAGTTAAAATTATTTTTACTGGTCGACCGACGGATAGCAAGTCAAATACTATTTCACGCATTGCAAAATCCAGTCTTTCTTGCGCTATAAATTGAATAATCTTTACAAAAATGTTCAGCGGTGTGTCTCGCGGTACTACCGCCTTCGATCCTTTAGGAAACAACGAGTTCACTATACTCTGCAGTCTGCTTTGTGTAGCTGAATTGCTCTCGCATTTGATTCGTATCATGTAAACCCAGAGTAAACGGTATAAAGCCTCTGTAATACGATTCATATAAAGTATACTTGCTACTTTTACTTCTCATTATAAAAAAAATAACTTTGTATTTAAATCATACCTAATGCAACTCGACACATCTTCGGATCACGATTCTTCAAATGAGATAGACACATAGCTAAAAAATAATGCCAGTTTTGCAAAAAGAATGTTTTTTGACTAACGCAAAGCAGACAAGTTACTAATGGAAAGAGCGCCAGTCTATGTTTAGATTTTGTACACATGTCCAATGTTGTTGAATAGAGCATTTCTACAAAATTTTTCAAACATGGTACGTTTACTTCATTTTTCACAGCCTAAAATATAAAATACAGATAATTATTATATGATGATGCCCACAAATTGCAATTTGCAATCTAAAACACTTACAGCAGCAACAGGGACAAGTATTTCAACAAAAAGACCAGCTAAAGCATGTTTAACATCTTTGTCTTTCACTTCTAAAAAATATTGAGCGCACTCTTGCATAAATTGAAAAGATGCCTCAAACTCTTCTATTGGTACCATCTGAAAATCCATATGTTCAAAAATTAAAAATACATATAATATAAAATTCAATATATATATAT